GCTTTTGACTAGAATAAATTCTTTCAATGTCAGACGTCATAGTAAAGCGGAAAAAAATAATAATAATAAAGAACGGAAAAAAAGAAGAGAAAAAACCTATTGAAAAAAATCAATTACATATATCATTCAAAACAAAGTTTATTGATATTTATCATCGACTTGTTTTTGTTTACAATAATATACAACAATCATTTGTATTGTTACTATTAGACGGTGGTGAATTTGGATTTGATTGTGATGTATTGCGTTTTTTGTTTTTATCTTTATTTACAGGTATGCGTTTGTTTATTTGTCGAACAAGATCAAAAAATATCTAAATAATATTGTGTTTTATTTATCGAACCTAATGATACTGTTATTTTTGTTTTTTGTAAATAAACAAATCAATGAAACATTTCTAGACATTACTTACCTCATGAACATTCACTTTAAGTTTGGCTGATGTTTCAAGGAATGTACTTCCCCAAGTGCGTGCTAATGTTTGGCCCACTTCTTTTCCAACGACACGTTCATCTTCTAAATCGCATTTGTTTCCTACCAAGACCATTGGGACCTTTCAAAAAAAATTAAATAAAACACATTGATAAATAACGATTGATAATTTTCTTCAACATACATCAGTTGTATCTTTAACTTTTAAAATAGCGTCTCTTAAATCAACTAAATCATTATAGGTTGATTGGGCTGTTATCGAATAGACTAATACAAAACCTTGACCATTTTTCATGTATAAATCACGCATTGCTGTAAATTGCTCCTAAAAATAAAAACAAGTAATAAACATACAGTAGTCATCATTAGTACTTAATTCTTTGCGTCTTTAGACCTATATAACGTAGTAATGTTGAAATTTTATGTAAGTATAATTCTCGACATACTTCACTTTTAGTCGGCTTAACTGTATGTTTCTTGGAATGTGTTAATTTCATCTTTTTTTATTATATTACGAATAACTTCGAAACCAAGAAGTATGTCCACTTTATTCTTAGACAGAAAAAAAATCAAGAAAAAAGTACAAACGCTATTAATATTTCCGCATTTTGTAGACATAGATTCGCATATATGCGAGAAGCGAATTTGTACATGATTTTGGCTACAAACAGTATTCGACGTCGAGTGTCTATACTGCAAGTACGAGCTCTTGATTTACTTCCTGAACCGATGTCTGCCCCTTAAAAAATGCAAACAGTACCTTTAGCAATTTTTAGGATTTTTATAAAAAATGGCTGTTAGTCTGGAAAGAAGACTTCCTCCGTCAAACAATTTTGGGAATCTCCCTGAATATGTTGCCAGTACTCCTGCTAAAATTTTGAACTAAAAATCCAAACATCGATTGCGTAACGCATAGGAAAATTGTTCGCAATTTTCGTGCAATGACTCTCACATAAAATTTCAAGTTACTACATCATATAGACTATAAAGAGTCTTTACTCATTGATGAGTAATTACTTCATTAATGAATAACGACTCCTTATATTCTATTTTTCTATGATCTCATTCTCATACTAATACTATACTATATCATATAGGTTTAATCCCTTAACTGTTATTGACTTAATATTACGTCAAAGCAATCTTCACGGAAAAATGGACGTTAAATTTTATTGTTTATAAATCTTTGCTTATAAATCTATACCTGTGGGATATATCCGAGGTTCTACGATAGTTCAGTACCGTGTGAGCCATAAAAAATGAGCCTCTTAGTATTTATTATTTGTTTCTTTAAGGCCCTAAGGTTAATATCTTTTTAAAAGATGCGACACGAGATACTCTACAAAATCATACCTGAACTTTAATTTCAGAAGTTCGATCAAGAAAACTACGCAAATTATGCGAGGCGAAAAAATGAAAACTTGTAACTTTGGTATTTTTGTCGACTTGAACTTTTTCTTCTACTATTATTTCAGTAAAAAAGTGTAGCAAAAGTGAGAACGGAGTTTGTGTTTGGTACTTTCAAATGTGCTCTTTCTCATGGACTGTAAAAAAGTGTTTAAGGCAGATAGTGTACTTCAGACCGAAGTTTCAAAAATACGTTACAAATTTGCAACCTTCCCGTTTCCAACAATGGGCTCAAGTAAGAAACAGAAAACATGATCGAAGTTTGAATTTTGCAGTTACATAGAGAAGAACAATCATTTCTGATAAAAAATTCAAAAATCTTTTATTTTGTTGGAGTTATGACACTTTTACTGAAAGCACCACCATATGCTGAATTTAAAAATTAATGAAAAAATGCAGGACAACTGATAGAAAAATTATTATTTCACCATAAGTTTTGATGTGAAAAATTTTGACGTATAGCTGAAAGATAGAGTGATGTCAAGGCTACAAAATGGCTAATTCAGTTTTCTTACTTTGAAAACGTTAACGCGAGAAATCGTTTTTGAGTTTAGAAAGTTTTCATTTTTTTCGCCTTTCGTCTAATTTGTGTAGTTTTCTTGATTGAAGTTCTGAAATTAAAGTTTAGGTATGATTTTGTAGAGTATTTTGCGCATCTTTTAAAAAATTATTAATCTTAGGGTCTTAAAGAAATACGAGAAAAACAGAAAATACTGAGTGGATCATTTTTTATGACACACTCGGTACTTCACAAAAGACTAAATTCATTTATTATAATCATTTATTTACAGCAATCCTCAATAGTAGAACTATCTACACAGTCTATATGTATGTCTGAACATAGGGACAGCGTAGATTATTACCGTTTAAATTACTAAAAGTTTTGCTTGTTTGAAGTTTGCTGTTTAATTCTTTTTTTAAATAATATAACAGTTAAGAGATTAAAGACACTAAGTAGATTAGGCCCATGGGACGTCTGCTGTATAACGATTATTATTCAGCTAGAATATAGCCTACCGTTCCTGCTGTGTCAAGAATTTCCAACATAGACTGTATTCCATCAACCTCAACTTGTTTTCGATAACTATCTTCAATTGTCGGATCTGAAACAGAAAACCGTAGAAGTCGTACGTTTTTGTTTTGCTAAATTGATCAGGTGAAATATCTTACCATATTTTTCAACAAATATTCCCTGTACAAATTGAACAGTCTAAAAAAAGAGAGTAATAGAATAAGTAAACAGCCCACTATCTAAACTCAATTTGTACTTACCAGAGCACTCTTGCCAACACCACCACTACCCAAAACTACTAATTTATATTCACGCATATTATGACAAAAACAAATAAGAAATTATCTAAAGCACAAACTGTACAGCATGAGAATGCAAATTATTAAAAATGATATTAAAAAAATAGGGAATGGACAGAAAAAAATCTTTTATTCTACTCAACTTTCTGTACGTGATATATTTTTGTATTAACAAAGTTTTACAACACAAAGTTGAAAAATTGGCCAGAAAGACGTACATTTGATTGATTTAGATACATAACAATATTTATCATATCGTTCAGATTTCTGACCGAATGAAAAATAAACCCAAAATTCTTAATGATAAACGTAGCAGTTAAAGACTCACTTAAAACATATAGTCTTCAAAAGGCGCCACTATCTGATCATTCGGTTATTCTCTAGACAAAGAACATCGGACTGATATGCGATAGATTGTTTTCCTTACATTAGCAGCAATTTTCTTTAAAAGAACGAAGCACAGTCAGCACAAGTAAAGTTTACATTTACATATTTTTTTCGTTCGCAAAGCGTAAACCAAAGTGAACATTCAATTTTCAGCATGTATCGTAGAATGTAGAAAAAATAGATTCCACCTCAATAAATGACTGATCCATAAGCAGTAGCATAACATTTTTAGCATGGCGCAGACCTTTTTGGAGCAATATCAAACTATTCCTTCAATCAGATTTAAATAGTTTTCGAATGATCAACTGTTATTTTCTGTAATATCAGTTAATATATAAAATAAAGTTATAAACACTTTGTAAAAAGTATGTATAGACACAAATTCTGTAGATTTGCTGTTTAAGAGTCAGAAAAATATACGAAGTTATGTAATTACAATTGTTTCTTATTTAGTTTACTTTTTTCAGTGGGTGGAGACGCACCTGTATAAATCTCATCAGGTCGCCACGTTCTGCTGCCTCTGAATTAGAACAAAATCTGTTTCTTCACTTTTACTCTTGAACTAAATAATAATTTAATGATCACCAATTATACAAATAGTTTTTTAAGAATATTCTGTAGTAAAAACTAACAGTAAAACTATCAAAAAGTAACAGTAAAAGTGTGTCACCATTTTTATCTTTAATCCTTGTCAATTTACATTACTTATTCTGCACTGAAGGATTGTTTTCACTCATTCTTCACCAACGTGATCGATTTTACTAATAGTAAACAACTGTATAAGTTCCGCTATGAATAATTCTGACGAAAAAACACAAAAAGGCGAAACATGATGGAAATGTAGCTATCCCACGTTTTATTTGGTGTCATACTAACAGCGTAACAATATAGTACCGACACAATAAGAACGTGACATCAAATTATCAGCGTAACATTGTGATACTTTTAGCATTTTGGGACAGTGCATATCAGAGGTGGAATGGACTCTTCTTCTTTTTTTCAAGTCCCGAATCGAGCCAAACCGATCCGTTTTGGTTTGATAGCTCGGAAAAATATTCGTTCTTCCATATATTACCGCATTTCATCACAGCTAAAATCTATTTGTTTTACCTAACCCAATGGATAAACAATGAAAATGATGACAAAAACGGAAAACTGGGAAGAAAGATAGAAAGCTTTTCTGTGAAAATACTGACAGAGGTACGGAAATACACTAGTTCATTTTTTCAGCTATGTTGCTCTCAGCGACCTCTTATTTTCATGCTCAATGATCTAAGATCAATCTTTCCGTATAGTTTTCTAGAGTTTAACTAAATTCTTTCTCGCAAATTCATCAAACTTACATCTATACGAATTTAGGGAAACTTAAAGCTTGCTGGTAGAGCATATCACCGACAAAAAATTAAAGTTCATTTAGAGTTAAAGAAAAGTGCTTTTTCGTATTCAGCACACTTGTTAACCTGGAAAATTTTCTATTTTTAGCGAGGGGTAGCGCCAAAAAGTTAAGAAAAGTTTTCAAAATTGTATAATTTTGCCATGGAGATTTTTCTGCGTTACTTTGTTTGAAAATTTTTCTTAACTTTTTGGCGGTACCCCTCGCTAAAAATAAAAAATAAAATAAAAAATAGAAAAATAAAAATAGAAAATTTTCCAGGTTAACAAGTGTGCTGAATACGAAAAAGCACTTTTCTTTAACTCTAAACAAACTTTAATTTTTTCTTATCGGTGATATGCAGTCCTAAATATATCTTTTCTGTCAGCTAAGCTAAATTCCAAAAATGTGGTGTTAGGAAAACAGAACTACAGAGTGGCCTAGAAATAATTGTACGCATTTTCACTTGTTCTCCTGTTCTTTAGATTCTATCCAGCTAATTTTTTATCAAAAGTTTCCCCGTTCAATTCTCTACGAAAAAATATGTTGACCGTTTTATTGCAAAATCTAAAGATGAATAATGACATGAGAAATTGTGCAAAGTACTAAAATGGAGAAAAAATAGGTTAAAAATACAGTTTTTTTATTTCATTCGCTGAACGTTTGTGAAAGAAAAAAGCTGAAGTATCTATCGAATAAGCCTTAGAAAACCTCTACCTTCCGCCTATAATTATAAACTATTTTTCAGTTAGATTAGGGAATTGAGAAATTAATTATTTTCACAAAGGATCAGTGGTGGTAAAGTCGTTCTTCATCCTTAAATATTTTTCAAAAACAACGTATATTCGGAATCGGCTTCAAGTTCTGAACAAAATAGCTCATTTCGTTTTTGAAAAATTTTTCGGTCTTGGTTCCTCTTCCAGGGTACTTCCGAAAATGTTCTCTTTCTACCTGATAGAGAATATCATGTTCATTAAGCGCCCTGTAAGATAACTGAGTCTTAAAATAATGAGTCATATATGCCGCTCACTGCAATTATCCACATTCTTTCAAACGTGGAAAAAAAGATGCTGAACAGGACGAAAATTTTCGCTAATTTGCGATGTTTCGAGATTATTGCTAACAAAATTAAAACTGTCTGTTTAATTATCTCAGTATTAAAGTTTCAATAAAGGAAGAATCATGAAAATACAGGTAAGGCTGGATTATCTATTCAGTTTAGGTATTACAAACGGATGGAAAGACTTATCTTACAAATTCCCCTATGGACGCCCTTGGGCAAAGGCCGATACGAGATATTTTTGGTTTTCGTAAATTAATCGTGGAACATTTTTTGATAGTCCGTTGTGGAGGGTCTGGCAAGAAATTATATTCGCACGAACACAAAAGCAAACTATAGTCACAGTATTCTCGGCCCCCTCTGATTAATTTATTTACTATAAAGTATTGTTCATATGTTGACGATTTCGACGATAATCTCTCTTTATTTTGTTCGGTACGCATATCGTTGCGTAAAAAACGTTGTCAGAGCGTATGAGCCGTTTCAATCCATCTAATTTAGAGTATTGAATCTAGTGGCGGAGAAAGAAGTTTGATCTAGAGGGGACTCAGCCCAGAAATTTTCTAAACTCCGTCACAGGTAAACTCATTTAAATTTAATGCTCGAAATCTATAAATTTTTTAGAGGGGACTCAGCCTCCTCTCGCCCATAGCTGGCTCCGCCACTAATTGAATCTGGTCGAATGCAATAAGATCCGTCAATCGATCCCGGACAATACATTACAAGAAATGCAGTCGAATCTGATTGGATTTCGTTGAAATACACACTAAAAAATAATGTGTCGCAAATTGCGACATAATGTGCGACATAATCATCTGTGACACCGGGAACCACTTGCGACACATTCCGCTGAGTATTTCTACTATAAAGAAAACAGTGGAAATTAGGTATCTTGATCTCTTATTCGATTGTAATATTCGTAATATTTACAGGCCTTCAAAATATTCAGTCATATCATCGACAAAAGATTAAAGTTCATTTACAGTTAAAGAAAAGTTCTTTTTCGTATTCAGCACACTCAATAACCTGAAAAATTTTCTGTTTTTAGCGAGGGGTAGCGCCAAAAAGTTCAGAAAATTTTTCAAAATTGTATAATTTTGTCATGGAGATTTTTCTGCGTCAATTTGTTTGAAAATTTTTCTTAACTTTTTGGCGGTACCCCTCGCTAAAAAGAGAAAATTTTCAGGTTATCGAGTGTGCTGAATACGAAGAAGCACTTTAAACAAACTTTAATTTTTTTTAATCGGTGATATGCTTCCCAGATCTGAGTTAATAGCGTAGTCAAGGCCTCGGATTGGTTAGTTTTCGTCAAAGAAAAAATGTTTAACATAGAAAGAAAGTTAAAAAGACTTAGACAGGGATCTTTATCCACAAATAACATCAGTGCCAAATTGAAAGAACTTAAAACGCCCGAAGATTTTCTTATCTTTTACGTATTAGCGCCACCTGTAGCTCATCAAAATTGAAGCGAAGCCGAGAAAAATCCTAATGAAGACTTGCAACTGTTGAAAATAGTAAAACATAAAATTTAGCAAGTTTTTTAACAGAGTAAGTGCTCAAATGGCCTCAAGAACTGTCTAAAAGCTCGTAGTAACGGCGACACAATTTTCTCACAGGAGCTGCGACACATTTTACTGCAACACAAAATGCGACACAATATTTTTTACTGTGTATGGATCCACCAGCACAAGATGTGACGCTTGGAATGTTCAAACTGGAATGATTTTTTCTACTATGAACTAACGTGATAGATATTTTCCATAGTGATATTTACTGGATAATTAGCAGCTGTCGGTATTCTTTCTGCAAATCTGAAAAAAGTGCGGATCCGTTTAAAAATACGCAACATAAGTCATTCTATAAATTAAGACATTAGAGATCTCAGAACATATCTCCATTTAAAACACATAGAGAGTACAAAATAGAAAAAGAGCGTGACTAAACTGCACTTTCACTTTGATAGGGATCTCAGACTGGAAATGTTCGGTCAAGTTTTTAGCCCAGAAACATGTCGTTAGCTACCTATATCGCGAACGTGACGCGTGTTGTGAAGGAAAACGTTTGAAATACGTCCAATAAATCTGTAAGGCGTATGAAATTTTTTTCTTAACAACTGAAAAAATACTGTCTTTTCATCTTGGAATGTGATACCATGAGTGCTATGTTATGATCTTTGCTGTCTCATTCCGTTGATAAGTG